ATATTGCTCAGTTGATGGTAACTACTTCATAATGTGATTCAATTTCATTATCCCGCTTCTTTCCAAATGTAGAATTGAAACATTTATCAAGTGTTTCTGCCTTTTCTGAATCATCATTGACAATAACTCCACCTCCACCTAGTAATGGGCACGTACCAGTTAGCATATATTTTATTCCTAATATACTTTAAAACACTTTTGAATTGCCTGTGTCCTGCCAGCCACAGATTTTCCCCTCTTGTCTTTAGCTTCATTTATCAATTTTCCCACACTTAGCAATTGATATAAATTAGAAATTTATGCCTATTGCTCCTCTTTCCACTTATTACATATTGATTTGTATTTATAATTGCTGTCCTGTTTTGTTTTGTTTTTTAGCCAGAGCTGTCCCTGTTCTGGACTGCAGATTGTGGCTTTTTGGCTGCCTGGTGAGCTCTCCTTAAATGCTCCCAATTTTCATTTGGGAAAACCATGCTTTCTCCAATCTCTCAGTCCTGATCCTCAAAGGAAACTTATAGTTTCATAGTTTCATAGTTGGTCGAGTCGGAAGGGACTTGAGCAGATCATCCAGTCCGACCCCCTGCCATGGCAGGAAAGGACGCTGGGGTCAAACGACCCTGGCTAGGTATCTATCTAGTCTCCTTTTAAAGACCCCCAGGGTCGGAGCTAGCACCACTTCGCTTGGAAGTTGGTTCCAGGTCCTAGACGCCCTGACAGTGAAGTCGCGCCTCCTGATGTCTAGTCTGAATCTACCCTCTGCCAGCTTGTCACCGTTACTTCTAGTCACTCCTGGTAGTGCTCGGGGGAACGGGGACTCCCCCAATGCCTGCTGGTCCCCCCTGACTAGTTTGTAACAGGCCAGCAGGTCCCCTTCAGCCTTCTCTTGTGGAGGCTGAACAGGTTCAGGTCCCGTCGCCTCTCCTCGTAGGGCCTGCCCTGCTGTCCCCGGTCATGCGGGTGGCCCTCCTCTGGACCCTCTCCATGCTGTTCACATCCCTCCTGACTTACCAAACACTTCCCAGAGACGAGCCTATGAACTCCACTTCCTCAACCTCCTGGATACTCAAAATCATGGACTAAATATAGACTTGGATTTATGACACATTATAACCTGCCTGACATCTGACTGCCCAGGTACTTCTCCACTCTTCACCCTCTTCTCTCCCCCCACCCAGCCTGTCTCTCACCCATGGACTCCTCAATCTACATCTTCACTGACTTTCCATCTTGCATGCAGCCCAGCCCGGCCCAGCCCTGGCTTCTTTACTTTTCATTCCATCCAGGAAGGGCACACGCCGACTGCAGAAACTTCCTCAGTCTGACAAAGGGTTTTTGAACCCTAAAGCTTGCTTGAAAATTATTTTCCAACTATTTAAGTTGGTCTAATAAAAGATATCAGATTCACCCAAAGAACCTTGTCTGCCCAATTTTCATTCACACTTTTTGTCCAGGTTTCTCCTCCTGATGAAATTAACTCATAATCTGACCTTCCTTCAAGAAGTTCAGCCACCACCAGACACTCATATTACCTCTATTTCTCCATGTGGACGTACTCAAGTCACGATTACTTGTGTCTGGGCAACTTCCAGTTGTAAGTCCAGTAATTAATTCTCATTCATCTGTCATGACGTCCAAAATAGTTACTGCTTATTGGATGCAGTATGTTTTGTGTTATAACATCATCTATGGCTTTTAGACGCTCTAAGGATGGTTTACTACAGGCCCCAGGAGACCTCCAACATGTGCCTCCATGAGGGAGACGCTCATCTTGCTCTTTGGTCTGACTCTGAGGCCTGCGCCATCCCCTGGCAGAGCCCCCTCCTTGGCTTTCTTAGTCCATCTATCCAAACCACAGTCACGTCTAACTGGACACTCTCTGGACAGACAGCCCAAGCAGCAAGTCTTCCTCGCCGAGTCCTGCATTTGGAAAAACTCGCATGCAGCCCACTCGTTTCCTGCCATTGCCTGCACAGGTAGGAAATCCTTCCGCTGGGTGCGTGCATCTCATCATCCTGTTTTCTGCTGCTTTTTGCCAAACGCAGACACACAGTAAATGGCATTTTTGGAGATGGTGCTTCATAGATTCATAGATTCATAGATGTTAGGGTCGGAAGGGACCTCAATAGATCATCAAGTCCGACCCCCTGCATAGGCAGGAAAGAGGGCTGGGTCTAGATGACCCCAGCTAGATGCCCATCTAACCTCCTCTTGAAGACCCCCAGGGTAGGGGAGAGCACCACCTCCCTTGGGAGCCCGTTCCAGACCTTGGCCACTCGAACTGTGAAGAAGTTCTTCCTAATGTCCAGTCTAAATCTGCTCTCTGCTAGCTTGTGGCCATTATTTCTTGTAACCCCCGGGGGCGCCTTGGTGAATAAAACCTCTCCAATTCCCTTCTGTGCCCCCATGATGAACTTATAGGCAGCCACAAGGTCGCCTCTCAACCTTCTCTTGCGGAGGCTGAAGAGGTCCAGGTGCCCAGTCTCTCCTCGTTGGGCTTGGCCTGCAAGCCCTTAACCATACGAGTGGCCCTTCTCTGGACTTTCTCCAGGTTATCCACATCCCTCTTGAAATGCGGCACCCAGAGTTGCACGCAGTACTCCAACTGCGGTCTGACCAGCGCCCGATAGAGAGGACGTATCACCTCCTTGGATCTGTTCGTCATGCGTCTGCTGATGCACGATAAAGTGCCATTGGCTTTTCTGATGGCTTTGTCACACTGCCGACTCACGTTCATCTTGGAGTCCACTAGGACTCCAAGGTCCCTTTCCACTTCCGTGCCACCCCACATGTTTTCATGTTTTCCCCCACACAAATGCTTCCCTGCTACTTCTGGCATCACCAGCTTCCACTGCACATTGGAAGGTGACTTGCATTTCTACCCCCCAGCTAGAGGCTTGCAGCACCTCTTCCAGGATTAGGTCGGACATTTGCTAGAATTCTTCTGCACGGTCCTTGCTCAAAGCCCCAACTCTGGGCAGTCAATTAGACCTTCTTCCTTGCAGTTGCCCAAGTCACAGTGCTGTGCCCTGACAGCTCTTAGACGCTCCCTAGGCTGCCTCACCTCCTTTGGTAAAGACATCTCCTTTCGTGCATTGCATTTCCTTTTTGGAACAAACCTTTTTTAGCAACACTTCTGCAGCTATTCTTATCTTCTTCCTCAGCAAAGGCAAACTATATATAAATATTTTCGACTTCTCTCTCCATTGCACAAATTAATAGAATAACCTCCTACTTCACCAATGCCTGCATTAAACCATGAGGTAGTTTGGACCTGGTGGATATTCTTTCCATCCAGACCATTCGCCAGCTTCCCCAGATTAAAGTCTCAGGGACTGCAGAATTTTGGCATTTGACTATAGTTATGTAGGTGCAAAGGGAATCACCTGCCAATATCCTGTCAGTGTGACAATGGCAAAGAATCACTTTCTGCAAACACTGATCAAGGAACTTCCTTAGAATAATCAGGACAGTATTATCAGAGTCTCTTTCTGTGTTTCCGTTTCACTGCAAAGCTTCTGCCCAGACCCTTGCCAGTCTCCTATTAGCCTGTATTCCAGCTACATGTTTAAAGAAGCCCCATGTAAATCCTTCCACCAGTCTGTACCAGACACCAGGCAGCAGACTAACGTGGGAGTTACCATACAGAGTGCAAAATGTCCAGCATGTAAGAATAGATTCAAGCATGGGAACATTTCTACAAAAGGCCGACTATGCCATGTGCCACGAGATTACAAACAGAAACTACAGGACGACACTCCCAGAGATCTTGTCATACACCAAGAAAAGGGGGAACCTCAGTTGTGCTGTCAGCTGCTTGGCAGAAACATTGCTGCAGAGCCCAGACAGCAACACAGGGCAGCTCAGCTGCGTGGGGCATACCCTGAAGAGAACCCGAGGAGGCAATATAAGCCCTCATGCCAACGTGCTACAGACAACACCCGTTCAGGGGTCCAAGAAGAGGAATCTCCAATACCAGCATCAGGGAGGACAGCAGCTGCTAGCTCTGCCAGGAGTCAAGCTTCTGCCAGCACCAGGGGCTCAAGAGTCATGCCCTCCACCAGTGACTCAGGAGGTCCCTTCCTGCCCAAGATGCCGCTGTGAGACCCCTTCTGGCTCTGCACCCCAAGCTCCTTGCCCCCCGTGGAAGCAGCACCATGGCACTGTGGTACCACAGGCTCCAGCAGGGCACCCTCCCATCTCAGTGTCATCCCCCCTGCCCTTTCCCCTTTCCCGGCCCAGCGCCGCAAGTTCATCACAAGACCGCACCACTTCCAGCGCCTGTCACAAGAAACATACCCGCCACACTTGCTCGCCACGCTCTGCAGTGACACAGGCAACACCTGAGACCGAGATCCCCGCAGAGAGGATGTCAGAGCCCCTTAGGGCCAGCCTTGCTGACACCTGTCACCTCCAAGCTGCAGTAGCACAGGGAACAGAGCCCGATGGGCTGGCATCCGCATTGCATGACCCGGTGACCAGCCGCTACAACTCTTGCCTCTGCTCTCTGAGCTCTAGAGACACAGCGACAGACACACACATACACACTGCCAGCTCTGGGTCCCTTGGCACTGGCAGTGCCCCTTCTCATCACTGCCCGAGCAATGAAACCCCAGAAACTTGTGCTAATTTTGCACTAGAGAAGGACCAGAGGAAGGCTGCATGCAGCACAGACCGGAATAAATCTACCCAGCAGAGAATCACCATCCTGGAACAAGCACACGGAGCTCCTTCACGAGGAACGCATGTAGTCGTGTCTCCTCTGCCGTTCCAAGATGCATTTGGCTGCTGTGAGCCCAGAACTAGTTCACTCCTGAATGACAAATCTGAATGAATCTCTCATGAATATTCATCAACTGCTCCAAGTTTTGTTTGTGGCGAGACTGACGTCACAGCAGGTCTAAGCAGCTTGAAAAGTTCCCCCAAGTGCCTCTCCGCCCCCAAGCCTTTCCCCAGCGAGGATTTGGCTTTTCAAATTCAGAACATCTCATGTTTGTTCTTACCCTTTGGCTCATCCATCAATACCAGTGCTCGCTCCCCTCCTCCTTTCTCAGCCTCTGCTGGCGCTAAGCTGCCGGACTGAGAGGTGCACATGAAACTGGGCTATTTAACGGTCCATGGCTGTGGGAGGGGTTAGTTTAACTCTGCTGCATGACTCAGAAGGAACCTAGAAGCAGGTCACCCTCTGCTTTTCCTTTAAGGAAGGAATCAGCGGGGGGCTGCAGCCCCTTGCCTCCCCGGCTTGTGGCAGCTATTTGTCAGAAAGAACAACCTACACCTTCCCCCTTTGGGGTTGTACCCACAGGCAGGTCCGCAGCTGGCTGTAGTGGCACTTCTCAGAGGGAAGTAGAGCCTTGGCTGCAAACAGAGCGATTACTTGTCAGCCTTTGAAGTCATCTAACACTCGCCAGACTTCCTTGGCTCCAGCAAGCCTGTCTGTGAGAGGCCTGATTTATAAAGGCGATAACGGTGCTCCCCTTCACTTGCATCTGTTGATTCAACCAACTTCACCTTCCCCAGCTCCAGCCCCAGGAAGGAAGACAATGTGCAGAAGGGGAAGAAGAGTCGCTGGTTAGAGAAGTGGTCAGCCCTAATGACCTGTCAGTCCACTGCGTCCACCTCCCATCGCAGCCCTGCACCCCTCACCAACACTCACCCACCAGCCACTGAACCTCTTGTCTTCACCTAGAGGAAGCTTCTACAAGGCAGAAAAAATGGTTTAATTATTTAGACCCTTATTTAAGGTCCCAGCCCCAAAACATGCCTGTGAAAATAGCTTGCAGCACAAGTTTATCAGCTGCCTGCAGTCCCAGAAACAACTTGCTCAGTTTACATGTAAGGAGAGGTTTCTAACTGCCAGCCTTGCAAATGCAGGCAGGCTCCTGAAGAAGAGCTCAGTCTTCCCTGTTTCATACACTGCCACACCCAGAAAAGGGTGTGGAGGCCAGTCTGCCTCCGTGATACCTGGGCAACCTCAGTACACTGATTGCTGATACAGAGAAGTAGCAGGTCTGATGGGTATGAACAAGTCATTTTTACAGACACTTTTTGGAACAAAACTGCCCTTCAAGGAAGGGGAAAAGGTCACTATCACATTTAGCACGTAGGCAATGCACCACCAGTTTCCCTTCTATCTCTACCACAGATACCCCAGGAAGCCCAGAATCCACTTGCTCGAGGACCGGTGCCCACTGCCCACATGCCTGCAGCCGCTCCAGTTTAAAAGTCCCGTGCACAGAACTTCCACGTCCTCCTCTGGGAGACTGCTTCATGCCCCACACACCTTGCTTCAAGCAACGTTTCCAGAGATTCCTCTTAAATTCTCCTTTACTGAGAATTTTCCTCCTAGAGCTCCTAATTACACTTCTCTGAAGCACTCTAAAGAGCTCATGCCCATCAGTGTAGGCAACGTGGCCCCCTGACTAAGCCAGCACAACAGAAATTAGGGTGAAAAGTCCTCAAGACCCTTAGACCACGTTAAAGAACACTGACCACCTGTTTAATGCAGCAAAATGCTTTGTGGCCAGAGCCCGCAGCACTTCTGCATGCACCAGTGTGTGCCTACTGTGGTGGTGGGCACCTTAGAAATGCCAGACAGAGGAGAGGAGATTGGCTCTGCACCCGGAGTGGGGCACCAGGGCCCGCACCCCCTTGCTGCGTTACTGCCTTCCTCTAGGACCCCAAGCAGGTTTCTGCCTGTCACTGCTGTTTAGACACAGAAAATGCTGCCCACCCTTATGCAAAGTGCCCTGGCACTATCACCATCTTCCACAGGCCTTCACTGACAAGCTCCACTTCTGAAGCAGAAACAGCTCAGCAGGACTCAGGGCTCAGCTAGTGCTTGTGAACACTAGAGTTAATTGCCACGCAGAGGCAACAGCAGCTGTACATTGCCTTCAGACTTGTGTTAATTGTCCCAGACAGCAACTAATGACCAATTCTTCTTCTCTTGGCCGGATGGCCTGTTCTAGCAGCTATGAACCGAGGTATCCAAAACTACTGTCCATTTTTGGAAATGCATAATAAATTTGTCCGAGGTCATACAGGGAGCCTATGACACAGCAAGAAACAGAATCCAGATTCCAAGTCCTGCGCTGTAACTATAAAGCCAGTCTCCTCATTACAGATTAGTCCAGGTTCGTGTGCTGTGGGGAGAGAACAAACCTTTCCTTCTAGGTACGACATGCAATACCGTGACAATCAGCAATGGAGTGGTGGCGAAAAGCGGCAAAGGATGAGCCATTTATTTTCTCCTGCTTCAAGCTACTTCTTCATCATGAATGCAGGTTTATGACCCTGCCAAAAGAAAGATTCATGGTTTGAAAGGACAAGTATTGACCCTACAGTGCATCGGAGAGACTGAGCTGCTCTCAAACAGCCAGACTCAGGAAGCATCGCTGCCCCTGAGTCAAGAAAAGGAGGAACTGGCCGTAAAGAAAACAGAGAGACAGGAAATCAGAAACACAGTTCAGAGCTGCCAAAGGCAAAAGGACTGGATATTATCCGACACAGCTGGAGGAAGGAGATGGGCAGGCTGTGACCACAACAGTAAAGAGGACCAGGAGCCATACAGCTATCACTAGCCCATCGTTAATAGGTTCTCAGTTTGGAAACTGCAGAAAAGCTCTCTGCAAAACCAGCTGGTGCAGAGCATGTACCTGAGGATGGCTGCTCAGCCCACCCGCAGGATAAGCAGCTGTGCCCACAGGAGGATCTCCAGACATCTCCAGAAGACAGAGGATCTTCTCGGGGATGCTGCACTAGGATGGAAGAATGCTCTGCGATGGGCGGGTAAACTCAGCAGGGTGGCATGCTACCTTCCCAGAGCCAAGACCTGACACGTCATGAGATGGCTGGAGCAAAGGGCAACCTCTACCGGTGATGGTGCCAAGTGACGAAGAGGCTGTAACCTTTCCTTTCAGACTCTGATCTGGCCTTTGTAACCTCAAGGCTAGACTGCTAGGATGTGCTCTGCATAGGGCTGCTGCAGAACACGGCAGCCACCCCTGCCAGGGGCGGGTTGTTAGGGCTCATACCTCCAGCCCTCCAGAGTCTGCACTGCCTCCCAGGAGCTTTCTGGGCACAATTTGGGCTGCTGGTTTTGACCTAAAAGGCCCTCTATGGTCTGGGCCTACTGCCTTCTCCCTTATACCCCATCACAATCCCTAGGGGCACCTGAGAGCAACCACACACAAGTGCCGTTAGCACACCAAGTCTCCCTGGCAAAAATGCAGGGGAGGTCATTGTCTGCAGTTGCTCCTCAGCTCTGGAACTCCTTCCCTCTTAAGGCTGCCAGAGCCCGAGCCCGGACATCTCCTGGAAGTGCTGTAAGAACTTGGGCAGGCGTTTAGCAAACAAACCTAGAGCCAGGTGTTGTCTAGGGGATCCCTGTTTTATCCTGATGTTCCAGTTCTCTTCTAAGTTGTTTTTGTTCTCGGCACCCTTCTGTTTTTATGCTATGCTGTTGTTGGTTTTTATGGTAAGCTGCCCTGAGCCTTTGTTGGGGTGGGTGGTATACCAATCACCAACACTACTTCATATGATAATTCACCTGATTACAGACCAAGCCAGAGGATGCTGCAGAAGAGAGTGGTCCAAGTAATCTTCTCCCAGATCCCTCCCATCACATGAGTTAGGGCAGAGCCAAACCAGATCTGAAAAGGTAAAGTAGAAGGTCTTGCTCTTGTGGATCATTAGGAAAGAGAGGACTGCACAGCTTAGGGCTGATTAGGCTGGCCAGGAGGATGGTACACTGATGGAAAAGCTGGGGAAGAAGAGAGCAAAACTGCACTCATTTCACACAAGATCAGGATGCCCAGAATAACAGTAATCAAAGTGCCCACAGCTGTGGAGAGAAGAAAATCTTTAATTTCCCCGTATACCAAAGTCAGCATCCAAGGCAATAAGTGGGGGGAGTATTACAACTGCTTGTTTACAAACATCATTTTGACATATTGATACCAATGAAACTCAGTGGGAAAAGTCACTAGTTGCTGCCTATTTAGGAAGGGTTGCATAGTCAAGGGAGAAGGAGAGTGGCACTCTGCATGGAACGGCTTTACCTGCCTCAGCTGGGGATAACTCAGCAGCAAAGGATGCTGAACGCCCATGGACAGACATGGAGGAAACGAAGCATGAGACAAAGCGTGGCTGATGCCTGTTACAAAACAGCAAACCTGTTAAAGAACAGGACAACCAATTCTTTTAAGCCTTGTCTATAAAGTGTAGGGA